TTTCATGTATGTATATGTGGAACAGAACATGTATTTTGATTAAGGAAAATATTTATAATCTTTATATTCAATATGCACGTCAGCATGTCTGAGCACGGTCCGTTGTTAGTCTGAGGAGGTTCACTTTTGTGTTTCCTCTGTGCATGCCGCCCACGGATTCTACGGTTCCTCTTATATTAAAAAAAGATAAAAAAAAAGGTTTTACGCAGGCAGCCAGTATTCCTTTGACGAATATACGATCGAACTTGTTAAGTTTTGTGTAATTTACATTTTATCATGAAATGTCTTGGACATAGTACAGCAGTTTTGACCGCGATATGCATTATACATATGTATGTCTCATTATGATATTTCCTCCTGTTATAACGATCTCGTTATAAAATAACCTCGCTACAATGCACAAAATTGTTGTTTGTTTATTGTAAGTTAGAGTAAGACTGAAGATGTATGCTATATAGAAATTGATAATTGCATTGTTTTTCTTTCGTAATAAATTACATTCATTAGACTGGTCAATATTTTACAATGAGATTGATTTTGATGTACGAGAAACTACGAATTTGAAATAATTATCATAATATTTTTAACTCTTAGAGCTCGACTAAATGCATTTCAAACATATTTTTGTAAACTTTACATAGATCATCTAGATCATTTACAATAGATCATCTAGATCATTTATGACAGGAAAATTTATACACATATCGAAATTGGAAAAAAAAATCCAGTCCTGTAAACCAACCTGGCAATTTGTTCTACAACAAACAATCCATTGGTGACTGATTTGTGACATTCGTGTTTTGACCCCGGTACCCCGCCAAGCTAAAAGTCGCGTATGAACAAGTTACAGGGCCACTGCTGATGATCATGTGACCAAAATCGTACAATGGGCTCATAATATGGCGTCTTAAGCAGTGAAATTGAGGTAAGCATACAGTTATAGTTAAATATATATATGTAAAACTAGGCCGTATAAAAAACACGTACTGTTCTATTATGGGTTACTTTGTAGCTCTCTCTAATTAAGCCTGAAAGTCGAAAAATTGTTTGTGGTGATTTGTACAATGGACGAACAGGTACTAAATGGCGTTTTATTCAGAAAAAAAAACCGTATTTTGAGCAAAATTAGCAATGACATCTTTTGCACAATTGCAAGTTTGCCAGTCATGAACCATTCAATTCCTTTGTATGCTAACCTCAATTTCACTGCATTTACCGAGAGTTTAAGCCGCAATTTTATGAGCCCATTGTACGATTTTGGTCACGTGATCATCTGCAGTGATGGCGAGGGCGCGGAGCGAAAACACGTTAATAAGCGGGGAGGGGCGCGAGGCAAAGTTTAATAAATAAAATTTCGCCCACTGGAGCAGTGAGCGAGGTTTAGGAAATAAAACAGCGGGTCGAGGAGCTAAATCATGCTAATTAGCATTATGATACACGTGAACTACATATACATATGATTACCATGATAGGACCTCTGTTTAGCGGCTGTATTAAGACGTATGTTAAAACACAATTTTGGTTGAAATATGATCAACGCTTTACCAATGTACACATTAACTAAGCCGGATACATTGTGTAGAGGATCAAACTACTGCGGTGTCACATGGCAATGTTGAATTAATTTTCTTTTATGCCCCAACAAAGTGGGAGCATAAAGCGTTGCACTTGTCCGTCCGTCCGTACGTTCGTACGTACGAACGTCCCAATATCTTGTGAACGCAACTCCTCTTAAACCGGATGGCAGATTTTGCTTAAACTTACAGGGATGAGCAACCTTAATGTGTAGATGATAGTAAAGGCAGGAATTTTTGCTGCGGCCAAATTTAACAGAATTATGGTCCTTTGTTGATTTTTGTCACCATATTCCATATAGAAATTTTGTGAACGCAACTCCTCTTAAACCGGATGGCAGATTTTGCTTAAACTTCCAGGGATGATCAACCCTAATGTGTAGATGGTAGTAAAGGAAGGAATTGTTGCTGGGACTAAATTTTACTGAATTATGGTCCTTTGTTTATTTTTTCACTATATACCACATAGAAATTTTGTGAACGCAACTCCTTTTAAACCGAATGGCTGATTTGCTTAAACTTTCAGGGATGATCAACCTTAATGTGTAGATGGTAGTTAAGGAAGGAATTTTTGCTTGGACTAAATTTAACTGAATTATGGCCCTTTGATGATTTTTTCACTATATACCATATAGAAATTTTGTGAACGCAACTCTTCTTTAACCGGATGGCTGATTTTGCTTTAACTTCCAGGGATGAACAACCTTAATGTGTAGATGGTGAAGGAAAAAATTGTTGCTGCGACCAATTTTAACAGAATTATGGCCCTTTGTTGATTTCTTCACTATATACCATATATAAGTCAGTTGGGGCATCTGTGTCCTTTTGACACAGTTCTAATTATATCGGCTACTGCATTTGTTTATCAGTAGATAATGTAAACAAGAAACAAGTTTTATTTAGGGAAATTATTAGTCAACCGGTTGCAAAGACTTAATATTACTTTTCATTTGATCGTGTACTGGTTAACGTTTACAGATTGATCAAATGTAAGAACATAATATGTTAAAATCATCGTGAATTGTACCTATGTTCTCTTATAAGATAGATATTTTCATTTATAGATGCAGCTATTTGTTTAATTACTGTCAATGACAGCTAATTTAAGTGATTTTTAAAGTCAATATGATTGCGAATAAGCAACATTATATTCTTTTTCTCCATTCATATTTGTTACTTATTTAAAATAGCCTGGGAGTGCAAGACAATTCGCGTGCTTTAAATGACGTTATTTTGCGGGCCTTTGCCTTTTATGAATAATTTTCGTTCTTAGGATTTAAATACATTAGCTTCTACAAGACAAAGGTTCCAAATAAAAATATTGGTTTTCGAAATTCAAACTTAGATAGTCTGTTTTAGTTATTTAGGTTTAATTTTCTTTAGATTACCTTACAAAAGAGTCAAAACTTAAACTTAGTTTTCGCCCAAGACGGCTAATATGAAAAAATTGTTGGATTGGTCATGGTAAACATACTTTGGTAAATGGCACCTATAATGCATATCCCTTGCACCAACTGAAAGAGAGAGTTTAGCTTAATGATACAGGAACGATGAAAGTTAAAAGCATCTACAATGTAAATACTACTGTGATCAAGGAATGTTCAATATGACACTTTCCTGTCATTCTGTGAAAAGCGGTGTACGCTTTAAAGAGAGCATTAATTCAGAACAAAAGGTAGACAGAAAGTGTACATCTAAATATTGGAAAATAAAGATGACCATAGAAAGTAAAATTAACTGAAAGCATTACACTTATCTCCCATAATCTCTACACATTGGTCTACTATCCTGCGATACATGGATGCACATGAAAAGGATGAAATATATAGAAGTGACACGAAATAGGGCACCAAACAGGAACAAAGTAACACATGTGCGAAAAATAACCGATGACTTAATTAATATCTTATCGTCGTCATTTGATGCAAGGTTCATGTTTCACTTTCATTCGTAATTTATTTTCGAAATGTGATTAACATGACTGTAATGTACAGGATCACAGATGGGAATAACTAGCTCTTGGGTAACTGTTTAGCAGAAAATCTTCGGAGCCTCGTTTGCGCAGTAAAGTAAGATATTTCGGTCTGTACCGGCAACCGGCGTAAGATTCTTATAGATAGAATAATAATGTTAAATAACTATATCTTTACTAGTAGTGCTTATCGATGTCAATGTCATGTTTTCAACCGCAGCAAACGAAGTCTTCTTCGAAATAGGGAGTTTGTTATATTATGCCTTATGTTTTGGTTTTGATGAACCTATTTATCTGACTTTTAATGTAGTACACCTCTTATGCATTATCTCTACTATGGAGAGTAATCAAATAGGCTAGAATCACTGTAAAGTGTATTGAAACTGAGGGGCGTGCGTTCAAACTCCAGAAGGGGCAACATTTTTTTCTTTCTTTTTTTTAAACATTTTTATGAATCACTCAGATCCCTACTGGAAGGAAAAATGTTAATTTTAATTATATAAGTATTGTAGGTATGTATTTGCTAAATAATGCAAAATCTAATAGCAAATATGATACTAGATATTTTCAAAATTTAATAAAACTACACGGTAAAGGTATTTTATATTTTGCGAGACCAACTAATTTGCATTTAATAATAGTTAGGCAAACTTTGAAAACAGCCCCTCATTATAGAAAATTATAAGGATATTTTAAATAAGGCTTTTTACATAGGGAAATGGTCAAATAAGTGTTCAAAGTCAATGGGGTAGGGTTACATGTTTGAACATATTAAAAACATTTCGTTTAGAAACAATCGTTTTGCTGATTTAATTAATTACATGAATGTCATCATTTGTTTCTTAACAAAGAGTTATAGGAAAACAAATTTTTTTCACAATGATGAGATTATGGATAATTGAGAGTTTCCTCATTTCTGAAAAAAAACCTTTCTAATGGCATAGTTTTTGTTCAGAAAAATGTCCATAACTCATAAACCACACGGTTATTTTTGTTTAAATTTTGCATACAATTTAACAGTTCCTTATAGTGTTCATTAGGGGTGTACTACCTTAAAACAAAACAGACTGGGACATTATTTGACAATTATACATAAGTATTCCAAATCATGTTTACTGTTTAACTTCTGTTATCCGAGGCGTTTGTTCGGCAGTGTAATACATTTGTAATATTAAAACAATCTACGCACTGAAATCAGCCGTACGTTCTACAATCATGACATGTTAAAGTTCTCCTTGACACAAACAAAATTAATACTCACGAGTATTTTGATAAATGAAATCTTAATACAAACAGGAAAGAGTGTTTGCTTTACCACAAATTCAATCACTTCACCGACTTTATCTCTGGAATTATTTAAACATCATATCTACGCTTATTCATGTTCTTCAAACCTTGAGATAAGCTGATAAACATATCCAGTGTTTGCCGCTGTAATTACTTTAAATAAAAAAGTTGTAATATTTTAAACCAGAGACAGGGTTTCACTAACCCGTATAATTTGTACGCTTCATATTGAAGTTATATTTCAAATTACGCCTTCAAAGATTCAGGTATGTAAGACAAGGGAACCAACTGATTATGGAATTGAGAAACGTACTTAAAGTGGTTTCATGCTTGCTGTTTATTGCGTGGATTGCAAAAGGTAACAACACCACTGTGAAAGGTACGCTTTGTTAAATTTTGTCTTTAAACATATTATTTATTTTTTGCTTAAAAGTATTTCTTTAAATGTTCAAGAAGAAGATAAATATAGTAAAATATTCAACATTTTATTCAAAGGTTTGTAAGTTTTAAACATATCTTGTTTTAAGTTAACAGCACTGCAGTTTGATTAATGTTTTGTTTATCTAATGAGAGAGAAGAAACACTAGTATGCCAGAAGATTGTCTCGTCATTTAAAAAGCTCATATTAAATTGTAACTCTAAATTTGATGAAAAGTATTTAGTCTGCGAAAGGAAGATCTTCTTCTGTAAATACATGTATGTTAGGAGCAAAGTGTGACATTGTCTTTTATACCCTAAAGAACTTCGTTCATATTTCGTTTACTCTCACATTTAATGTACATCTCAATCAAATACATTCAAAAATGCATTCAATATATCCTATCCTAAAAACACGATTTATAATTTAGAGATTTGTGATTTCGTTCTTTCCAGGTGATTCCGTCTGTAAAGATGAGACACCGGATTGTGGATATTATAATGAAAACAAATCATGCGATAACAGACACTTTGCTCTCCTTTACTGTCGTAAACATTGTGATTTATGTAAAGGTTGGTAATTATCGAATGTTCCTATCTTATATAAAAACATCTTCGATCCCCTTTTTATAGCTTTGATTTTCATTATATACAGTAAAATGCAGTTGATTTTTAGCAGCCGATGGTGGTTAAACAGGTTATAATGGTTGTGATTATGATGTATATTGTTCCTTAATCAAGAGGCTTTGTGTATGTAGCATAACATTATCACAAACGTAATATCTTACGTACGTTGCATATAAACTATCATATTTTTTATCTAATTACTTGATTAAGTAATATTTAATACTTTATAATAAGTTACAAGGTAATTATAAAATTAAAATGAAAATCTTTAGCGTATTTACACTTACTTTTCATGCCTACTGAACATTTCTACTAAAATGGTTGCTCGGTTGATTTCAGTATGCAATATACCAACTGAAGATAAAGGAAACAGTAGCTTAACATTGACCTGGGACAATAATACAAATAATTTTCAATTGAATTACAAATGTAATGAAGGATATTATCACGACAAAGGAAGCCTCACGAGGACATGTGACAAAGAAACGTGGACAGGCTCAATGCCAGTATGTTCAAAAGGTATCATATGAATATAATATTAGTTATATCCCGACTTTTTATCAACATTCCGAGTAATCGTAACGATCAAAGCAAGAAAAATGGTTCAATTTTTGTTCAAAACTGTAAATAAACATGTACTGTATACTTCATAACTGCAATGTCCCGGCTTAGAGTTTTCTCATATAGTCTTGCAATTGAAACTTACACGTGGAATAAACCTTGAATTGTACCCTTTGAGGGTAAAAAGTAGAAATCGTTTCATTTAGAAAGATAAATTTCGTGTGATTCTCACAGTATTAGAAAAGGCAGAAAATTTACCCTATTTGTTTACATTAATGATTTTAGCCTCGAAATGATCTTATAGCTAAACATAATAGCGAAGGAAATGGCTTTTAATTGTAGATTTAAATTAAGATACTTTGTATAATACACATGTGCCATCCATAAATACCTTAACATATCTTTTTAATTGATTAATTGTGAATAAACAAAGCTATTTTACATTTCGAAGAAAGTTTTTAGTTTAACTAGACTTTATAGATGCCGGAATTGTATTCACATTTACAAATATAATATTTCACAAATTGTACACATAGGACAGCTGCCATCTAATATATTTTGTATCCACCCATTTTATGTGCAGACGACAATATTCTTACTGGAATGTTCTACAAAGGGATTTGACAAAATGAAACATTAATATTTGTGCAATATCATAGTTCTTTTTCAAGAACTAAAATGGTTTGCTGTCGCAACTTGTCCTAAATGCTTTCATATTTTTGATGAGGTGGTGGTTTTTTGTTTTTTGTTTTTTTTTTGTTTTTTTTTTTAATTTATTTTTCATTTCATTTCTCCTAATTTTTTATGAACACTTGTCAGTATCTGATATTGGTGCTAACATGTATAAAAACACCGGTATAAATAGAACAACGCCTGATCAATGTTACAAACGTGATAACGCGTACAGTTTACTCTTGTTGACAATATAGCCAAGCTCAATATGACTGCAGTTAATTCCATGATGCATATATGTTCATTTGCCAGCAAGTCAATGATGCGTGATTTTATGCACTCTTATGTATTGGCAATCGTAATTGATATATAATAATTACCCAAGAGCAAAAGACTTTAAGTGACCAATCGACACGAAATATCTTGTCAGGCACTTGGTAAAATAGAAGGAAGCATGTCAGTTCAAAATTACAAGCAAAGGAGCGCTATGCATAAGTTGTGTAATTTGAAAACTACGTTGTCGGAAAGAATCACGAGGATATTCGCGGATAATAGCAAAACGCTGTTATTTTATTTATTTTTGCTTTTGTTTTGAAAGCATAGTATCTGCCATTCGTTGTTATCTGGAATTCTTATACTTAAACATAAGGTAGATTGTGACCAATCCTTACATGAATGATTCTTGATGACCTTATACAAATGGTAGATATTGTTCCAGTCTTAGTATAGGTATGTGACAAAGGCTTAAATAAAACAAGACCATAGATATTAAATTCATGTAAATTTACCATGTGGTACTCTAAAGAAGTCATATCAATCATAGTACAAGCCTTAACGTTGTATTTTCTATGAGTCAGCTGCTTTATAAAATAAAGAAATAAACGCTATTCCTTAAAAAATGCCAAAGGTACAAGTTAAGGATGTTGCAGACTCGGTTTGATATAGCCTGCCCACGGACAGTAGTTATAAATACAAGCTACAACGTCAAATCCATCGGCTAAATAGCAGTATCCGACAATATGTGATTAAGGATAGGCGACATTTAATGAACGCATCCTAAGGAAATATGATGATGTGGCAGGTTTCCACGTGTTGAGGCTGATAAAAATTTTATTCCAAAACAATATGCAAAGTTGTTTGCTATATCTTACAATTTAAATACTTTCAATGGTATCCTTATTTAAGAATCTTCCCTTTATCGTTTACTATACACGATTTAATTCTTGGTATTGCGAAGCGATGTCATTCGTCTTTGTGTGGATAGTTTTGGCCGCATAATCTTAGACTACCAGTTTCCGTTAAATTTCGTGAAAAACGATTTCTCCTGAGAACACTGGGCCAATGTTGCAAACATTTGTGTGTGATGTTTCTGGCATGAAGCTCTAGAGTTCAATTTAACATCTTGGTTAGAAGGGTTTTAATACACATGTTATTTTACATTAAATTATTCGTCTATGAACGTGTTAGTCTTGCATTACCTAATGAAACTATACATTGTTCGAATTTTAGCCTTGGGGTCAAAATTGGCCCCGCCCAAGGGGGTAGTGTTTTTTATAGGAAATCTTCTACTTAAAAAGGACAAGGGCTATATCTACACTAATTATTCAAGTTATATTCCTCGGGTAAGAATTGCCCTCGCTCCAGGGGTCAAAGATACTTTCTTAAGATAAAAATCTTAAAACTTTTGTTGACATTATAGCCCTAGAGTAATGTATTGCCCTTATATTTATAACAAAAAATCATTTCTAAAACTACAATAGCAAAAGCTTTTTTTATCTTTGCCATAAAACATGTCCAATGTCGACCTCTTCCACGTTTTGTTCAAAACAAAGTCCTGGGGTCAAAATCAAATAGTAAATGGAATATAATATTAAATAATATCCCTCATGTACAGACTCAATCGAACAGAGTCTGCAATTCTCTTGTAATTTTGTTGTGATTAATGCTTCAGAGGGATCACTTTGTTTGCAGATGTTTAATATAATTTAGTTCATATTGAACAGAAAAATACGTTCCTGACATGCCTTGATTGCGAGTATGCGAATTTTGTATTTTTAAATGTAAATATCGAAACTATCTTAAATTTTAATGAACTGATATAAAAGACGGTACTTTTTATAAACGACTTGGCCTTTTTAATAAAAACTTTTTATCAGTAAATTTTAGAACATAACATCTTAGTTTAAGATCATCCAATCTTTCTCCTATAACATCGACGGGGCGTCCGGGCCGAGTGGTTAAGGTCGTTGACTTCAAATCACTTGCCCCTTACCGCTGTTGGTCCGAATCCCAACAGGGACTTTCGACTCTTTCATTTGACGAAGTTATCCAGCTGGCCTACGGAACGTCGGTGGTTCTACTCAGGTTCCCGTTTGTGCATGAAATAATGCACGGAAGGGCACATGACGACTTCTTCCACCAGTATGGCTGGAACTTTGCAATATGACCTATACTGTGTCGGTGTGATGTAAAAATCAATTAAAAACAAACAAACATATAACATTGACCTTACATAGCGACGGCCTGGGTATGAGAGACATCACATGTACCAATATAACTACAAGATTAACAACAATAAATCTCCTACTTTCAGTTTATATATGAAGTATATGCTCGCCCATTTGGTCAATTCTAGGGTAAACAAAATAACACGCACAAAATTAGCCACGATCCAGAGGTCCATGGTTTTTATTTTTAAAGTAAATATTTCAAAACAATTTCGCATTGAAAACTGCAAAGGCTTTATTTTAGACATTTAGCATGAAATATTAGCTCGTGCATCACTTCAAATTCATTCTCCAAAACCATGAAGGCTAAAGCCTTGACTTGATACATTATCAAGTAGACCTCAGTCCAGTGCATCTGAGTGTCGTGTTGGTATGGCAGGATTGTGTCGGCGGCTGCGGTCTTGCCTTGTTGATCTTATTTGTCATTTTCTTGTTCACATTGTAACCAGTGATTTTTTTATAGCAACCATTGCCTTCCATAGCAAACAGTGATTTCTTAGATCAAACAAAGTCTGCATTATTTTCAGTTTTGATGTGTCGGGCGTTCTTTAGGGTTTCTGTTTTTCTCTATTCCATTTTCAGATCATTGTTATTTGTGCCATGTTGCGGCTGGGAAATATGTTCATTACTTTTAATCAAAGACGTAATTATTTCGATAATTGAATATCGTGCAACACGACATTATTGTCTTTTTTTTACTTGAGGACCATATGCTGCTTTTCATGAAATCGCATTAACGTGTCATATTGAAGGTTATATGATAACGCAATATGAACATATCTGCGGATGTTTCAAAATTCAAAGGTTCATGTTAAGTGTTTATACCCGCTTAAGCCTATGGCTTTGACGGTAATTTGCACTTTGAAATACCGACTATAAAAAGGCTCAATCATATCGCGCCTGTCACATTTCCTTTTTAAACGTGTTTCTTTAGAGATTGTGATTTATTTTAACTTTTTAAAGGAACAATTGTTTTCCCGTCGCAATAGCAACCAGTTATGTTTTTGTTTTATTTTAGCAGTATTTCAGACAAAATATGAACTTTTTTGATAACAGGCTAAGATTAATATTTTATATTTGCTTTTCATTTATACTTTACAATAGTACTTGTCCATTTTCATTTGCAGCATTTGTAGTCAGAGAAGTGATATTGGGACAATCATGGCTTTTTTGTTTTATCTTAATCTTTAAACATAAGTAGCCATTGGACTCATTTTGTTTATGGCCGTTTGAAAGGGACACTATCTATATCACCCAGACAAAATAAACTGTTTGCAATGGCGTACTTATTTAAGCTAATTCAGTTGCAAGAATGTATTTTGTCGTCAGATGGCAATATACGTCTGTGTCGAATTGTTTATCATATTTAGGCCAATATCTAGCTGAAAATGATATATTGATACATTTGATTGTAAACATTTTAGACTATGCATCAATTTGATTGTTAAATTTACAGTTTTAGGACGTGCCTGCATGAACAATAAAGACTGTACAGATTTGTTACCAAATTCCACTTGTACGAGCAAGATATGTTCATGTTCAACAAACTTTTCACCAATTGGAAACAAATGTCTAAAAGGTAAAGCAATTGACTATGTTATGTAACAAGTGTGGTTTAGGTGATTTAAATAATAAGGTGAGTAACGAGGTTGTTTTTGCTACTTTATACTTTCACTGACGTTTTTAATGAAAATAAGAAAGATTAACTTCTTTTTCAAGATGTTTGAGCCGTGAAATTGCATACAAATTGTATTAATGTATGTCATATAATGATTAAGCTTGGCCGGTATACAGAAAAGAGTTAGATAAATACCTTTTTTCACTGGCATAGATTGAATAAATGTGGTCGTTTATTCCAATTATTATATCACTAAGACGATATTTATGTAACTTATATGTTAATAGCCATATCGATGTAAATCAATGGATCAGATATTATGAAAATAAAACGTTGAACAGTGCTTTCAAGCAAAAATGTTATATAAAACTTTAAAAAAAAATGAAAAAAATAAGAAATGAAAAAAATCCTTCCCTGTCATATAATTTAATCATTCAGATTAAAAGAGTTGATACAAACCCCATTTACCTTTGCATTTTAAATTGATGTATATACTTCTTTTCTTGTTTTAGATTGTGACGCAACTGTGTTAGAAAATATGAATAAAACAGCATTAAATAAAGATATTAATACTGCGTTTGGGTCAACAGCAACAATAACATGTGAACACGGATATGTGATATTTGGGAGCTACAATAAGACATATTTCAACATGACCTGTTCTCATAACGGACTGTGGAGTAATAAACAGAAATGCGTTCCAATTGGTTAGATTTATTTTATATTTATCCTACGACAGTTATTTTGGCTCTCTAATTTTAAGGTATAACAGTTTGTAACAACGGAAGTTATCATGTTTACTACCATTAGTACAGTATTACGAAAGACCGGTATGCCCATTTCATCTTCATGAATTCTCGATTTCATTTTCATGAATTCACAATTTTTAATTCCTGAAATCCCGTTTTCAACATACCGAATTTTCGATTTAAGCTTCATGAATTACCTATTTCAACTTCACGAATTCATGACTTCAACTTCACGAATTCACGATTTCAACTTTATGAATTCATGATTTCAAATTCACGATTTCAACTTCAGGAATTCACAATTTCAGCTTCATAAAATCATGAATTCATTTCAATTTTTCACGATTTCTACTTAATGAATTCACGGTTTCAACTTCACGAATTCAACTTTTTTGAATTCACGATTTCAACTTCACAAATTTTCGATTTCAATTTCACGAATTCACGATTTCAACTATGAAGTTGAAATCGTGAAGTTGAAATCATTAATTCATGAAACTGAAATCGTGAATTCAGGAAGTTGAAATCGTGAATTCATGAAGTTGAAATCGTGAATTCGTGAAGTTGAAATTCAAAAAAAGTTGCATTCGTGATGTTGAAAACGTGAATACATAAAGTCAATTCGTGAATACATGAAGTTGAAATGGTGAGTTTGTCGAGTTAAAATCGGGAATTCATGAATTAAGATGAAATCGAAAATCTATGAAGTTAAAATGTCCCCACCGGGCTTTCGTAGTTTTACCACGCTAGTTTTTTTTAATTAACGTCTGTTTTGCCGAGTACAGTCCGACAAAGTATGTTGTCGTTGATGCACGGAAGCACAGAGGGGACATTCCAATTGTACCTTATTTTCCTACCTCGTGGCCAAGAGATATCTCTCAGGAAAAAATGCCATCTCGTGGCCACAAAATGTAACTCAGAACAGGAAACAAAAAAACAAAACAAAAAAAAAACAAAACAACAAAATGGTACCTCGTTCCCGAGAGATACGACTAAGAAACAAAAACCGAAACAGCCCAATCCCGTGGCCAAGAAATATAAACTCAGAAAAAAACAAAAGCGAAATTTCTCTATCTCGTTCCCACTTAATATAACTCAGAAAAAATTGCTATCGCGTGGCCACAGGTTATAACTCAGAAAAAAACAAAACAAAAAAATCGATTTCTCGTGGCCACAAGTTATAAATTAGAAAATAATCGCTATCGCGTTCCCACGTAACATAACTCAGAAAAGAAACGAACAATACCAAAATTTGCTATCTCGTTCCACGAGTTATAACTCAGAAAAGAAACAAAATCGTTCAAAACGAGATATAACTCAGGGAAAAACAAAATTTGCTATCTCGTACCCACGAGTTATTACTCAGAATCCCCCCTCCTATATTTTTCACACGAGTTAATCGGCCAATCAGCTTTTTATTCTATCTCGATGCAACGGCTTTCTATTGTTGGTATTTTAGCATTTCTGGAAAATTGATGTCTCGCGAGACCTTTAGACTTTTATCGTAATGGAAATACATGAAAATTTAACGCGACATTTCTTTGCGGCCAGTGATTTTATGTAATAGTGTGTGCTCCAAACCTGCAACTTCCTAATAAAATCATGTATAAAACCATTGCTCTAATATTCCTAACAAACAAAAAAAAAATGTTGACCAATAAGAATTGCGTGTAATTCTCGGATCATTGTTTACAAATATTTCTTCAGATTGTAGTAACGTCACACTTCAAAAAGAAAATAACATTAAATTTGTAACATATTCTGCAAGTACAACATATATGTCTATCGCCAATGCCACCTGTGAAGTTGGGCACGTCGTGCCTGGAAGAAGTTACAATCAGAAAGAATATACTATGTCCTGTGCATCTGATGGGTTATGGAAAAACATAACAAAATGTGTACGAATAGGTGAGTATAATAATTTGATATTTAGTATGAAAAAGGGAATGATAAGATATCGTCTTATACAATCTTTATCATCTCGACTGTAATTAATTTTATGAACTTTCCACAAGATATCATGATCCATTGTACTATTCAAATCAAATGTGTTTTATTAATATTTATGTTTATCATATAACCTTGTCAAGTTTTAACCTTATCTGTTATCCACGTCAAAACCTCATATACTCAAATTTTTAACGCGTGAGGCAATGTTTCGTTTAAATATTTAATAATAAAGAAAGTAAAAATTGCATTCACAATATACGATAAACCTCCCCCTTTTCAGCAAACATATCTATGTTTTTGTTATAAAATGATGTCGTTCTGATTTTGTTTTATCTAGATTGTGGGTCCGAAGCCTTGTCGAACATTTCAAATGCAAATCAGTCAAAACAAATACATGATACAAAGTACACTGCAACAGCAAACATATCTTGTAATAAAGGTTATACTGATGAAAATCAGAATCAGACAGAAGGCATTTCATTAACCGTAGTAACTTGTAAAGAGGACGGAATATGGCAAAAATTACCAAAGTGTGTTAAAAAAGGTAAACTGTACGCTATAGTTTGTATCTAGACATAGTAAAATGCATTACTGTTTTGTCTAGCTATGAACAATACCTTTAAGTCAATGTAGGATGATGAAAATTAAGATTTATATACTTTGTTCGGTTAAATAATCTAATTTTCTAGAATAGACTAGTATATTAAACATCGTTTTATGATGAAGTTAAAATCAAAACATTTAGTAAAGAAGATGCATATCGCACATTACGGAATACATATAGTAATTCGATTTATAAGAAAATAGTCTTCATCAGGGATCAACAAACGCTTTTCAAATTGAGACGATATATGTTATTGTGAGACATAAATATCAACAGTTTTCTTGAAACCAAGATTGTGATCTTCTTGTAGAATTGCATATATTTTCAACCAGTTGCTTTAAATATATAAACATTATACATGGTATTATTATATTGTTTAATAATTTGATGCAATCTCATTAGCTGTAATCTCGTTGGTTCAAGTCATATTCACTGAATGTGGTATCATAATAATTCACTGGCTGAAATTGATTTTCTCTTAAAATAGAGTCAGACTAATATTCAATAAACATTACGCGAAGACAATTAACTGCAATAAATCAAATTTATGGAACAGAATCAATGCATTTATTCTATCTTGCTTGTTGACATTGGAACTTGAATTTTGCTTGATTCCATCTTGCTTTATGATATTTAAACTTTGCATTGTGCTGGATACTATCTTCCATTATTTCATTCAAACTTGAGTAGCGACTAATTCTTTCATTGACTGATAACTATTGAACTTGCACAAACATATTTATCTTACTGATTTTGAATATTAACATATTAACGTCAAATGCCTTTATGTATAAGCTACCGTTCTTCGTGCGCTATACAAAATATTTACGGTTTAGTTATTATTCGTATATCTTTTATGTAGAAGTCATCCAAAATTGTATACATTTTTATTCCCTACTTCCTTTTGTACACCTAAAATTACAAATGGATTTTGTTAAAGTGTGCATTATATAATTTATTGCTCGCATGGATTGATTACTGTTAGCTTTCGCTTATTTCAATTATTCAGTGTTTATGCTAGTTAAAGCTCTGTGTCTGTTGCTTTGTTGAACATGTTTGAACATCTGACATTGTATATAACAATTAAAAATTGGCGATTGTGCACTGTTGATTGGCTTGAACTCTGTCATTGAGATTAACGGATTTTTTTCACATTTCGCAACGGCATTTTCTGTACATAAAGTGCTTGACCATACAACGGTATTCGTTCGCGTATACCTTTTTTTGTATATAAATACGTATCAAGCAATAAATATATAAATTGCCTAGGAAAGAATAAAAATATTAGTAGAAAAATATTATTCAATATCATATTATATATGTATACAGTTTTATAGAAAAAAAATAATCGTGAACAGTTATTAAATGGGGCAGTTATACAGTGACGGACTCGGGCCTTGGCTAAAAGACTGCACCAACCGCAGCTCAGCTCAAAGATACATTCATGAGCTTTGATTGAAAATATACGTGTCAGTTTCATGTAAGAGTGGTCATAGTGTACTCCGTTTTCAAAACATTTAAGTTGTTAAGAACCTGTCAAGGTGCCGCAAAAGTCTTTATCTAATGACTTAAACATTTAAAAGGCAACGTTTATGGTCTACTAATATTCCAAGTGTCTCAGCGTCACTATTGGTGTCAAATAGGTGTGTAACGCAGTACAATATACATGTACTATAAGGAAGGAAGGAAGGAAGGCAGGAAGAAGGAAGGAAGGAAGGAAGAAAAGAAGGAAGGAAGTTGTTAATTACTGTGACATGTGCATAGCCAATTACAAATAATTATAATGTATGTGTAGGAATATAGTATACGGCCCAATGGGCCTTTAAGTCACCAATTTACTGTGTCACTGACATAATATATTTTAATTATAGAAAATTATTGAAATCAATAAATTTCTTACTATATATGGCTTATTCAAATGAAGGTAGTCTTGTACTGGTGTAACTCTCCAGGAACGATTGTTAGGAAACTACTCGCCTATATGACTGAAATACTGTTGAGAAAAGGCGTAAACTGAAGCAAACAAACAAACAAACAAAATTTAAATAAAAACACATATACACGATGTATGTGATACTGTGTTCTTTATAACAGGTCAAAAAAGTAAGTTATGCCTTTAAAAAAAACTTCAGTTATTTTAATAACACTATATATTCATAATGTCCACTTTTATTGCATAGGATTTAAAGCAAAACATGTGTGTGAAGCCAAATATAAACTTTTCTTCGTTTAAACAAAGTACATTAGAAGAAAATTATTTCCCCTGGTTTTGTTCCCGTCGGATCACACGAGGGCGCTATTCGCGCCAAAATCAGCACGTGATTTTCGGAATAGCGTTGCAAATTCATTCAGCGCTTGGTTAATCGACTGTCAACATTTCCGAAGAAGAAAATTCAATTCCTTTTCAAC